GGAAGGAACCCATGCTTACTCGAAAGCTAGGCTAACCTAGCCCGAGTTACTGAGGATGGGCCCCGGACTCCCTCACAAAAGAAAGTGTGTCGGACCGAGTTTGAAGGCCAGGTCCGGTCACCACAGGCCTCAGGTGTGCATGCCCTAAACACGACTACCTTCATCATGCACACGTGAGGCCTTTAGTCACCAAACCTGGGCACCTTTGGCCTCACACGCTACTTCCATCGATAGGATGAGCAAAATCTACTATCGAATGAATATTCAGTTAGAACGTGAAAATATACACTGCCACAATTGTAAATTCAGTCCACAAACCCGCGGCCGAAAATGACCTGACAGTGTTCATAAAACAGCGCCAACAGCAACTGTACCAACAGGCGAAAAAAAAAAAAACATATGTACCGTCGATCTCGGTGGAGAACGAACGTTCAGATAATGAAAAACTTTCCTTTACTAGAAATCCTGCTACGGCCTCCAGCCGCCGCAGATTGCCGGCACTCCACCACACCACCATCTCCCCCGACCGCCGCTGCGTTCCCTCATGAAACTACCGGTCGGTGCCCGGTTGGTGACCGCAACCTTATTAAATGGGCAACAACGCCCTCTATACCCACTTACACGGTCAACAACATTCCCCATATGGAAACCGGCCGCTATACGACAAAAGAGATCCACCTACAAGCAGCCATCCTGGCTGCGAACTATCTCTGAATCCGTGCCTGCGGGAGCTTCAGTTCCCCCAAAGGTTCAGGGGAGGAGAGAGATCTCAGCTGAAGCAGTACTTTCATTGAGCTGTTCAATGCTGAACCGAAGCCTGTGCTTCTGGGTCACTTTCTTCAGGGGCTCCAAACACCGACTTTCTTTAAATTTTTCCTTCGGTGCCAGCTGACAGCACCAGCCAGCCATTGTGGTGGGGGCCTGCGGCTGATGTATGTGCCAAGTACTGGTGGTACCTTTCCCATATATAGGCTGCCGGGCCCTTACGGCTTTCGGAGGCCCGAAACGCAACACGTGCCACCTATGAAAATTATCAGTGGCGGCCCGTCCTCAAAGTTGGCAGTGAGTGCCCGGTTGCTCCCCCGACCACCAGTACTTCGGCCCAGCTTGAAAACAAATACACGGCTCCTTCATGGGTTTAACACTGCCAACTTTCAGGATGGGGCCGCCTACCTTTCTCATATATAGGCTGCTGGCCCCTCACCGCTTTCAGAGGCCCGAAATGCAACACGAAGCAACTATGAAATTTATCAGTGGCGGCCCCATCCTGAAAGTTGGCAGTGTTAAACCACCAGTACTTGGCCCAGCTTAAAACAAATACACGACTCCTTTATGGGTGCATTTTTTGGAGCTCGGCCAAGTGAGTGCCCGGTCGCGGCGTACTTAGTGCCAACCAGTGGTCGCGGTGCACTTAGTGCCAACCAGCGGTGATAGTCCACTTCATACCTCTGATCGGTATTAGCAGGGTCCTTGGCCAACACGGGTGTGAGTGTGCGTGTGAGTGGGTTGTGTGTGGTGTGTGGGAGAGTGTTGGCCTTAGACACTGCTGTCATTCGGTTGCGGGTGGGGGACGATGAAAAGGGAGGCACAGCTAGTGGCAAAATGCTCAGTCTTTGCGTTGGCCGAACCCCCACCGGCGGCCCCACCCCACCCTTGACCACCGCACCAGGGGTAGGTGGCAACATTGTGACGAACCACTTTCTGTGCCGCGCAACTTTCTGCGCAATGACAATAAGGGGTCCTAAGATGGGAAGGTTGGGCCAATTACGGGAAAATTTAATGGGATCGACGGGAAATTGCATCGGTGTCCTTGTTTGTTCCTCTTCTTACGTCGCTTCTTTTTGGATGGCTGGGGCCAGGGCTGGGCAAGTCCCGGGATGGTCGATTGAGTGGCTGGCGCGCCGACAAGAGGCCCGAGTAATAATGGTTGACGTCGCTTCTTTCTTGTTCTGCTGTCGGGTTTTCGGCGCGATGATCGCGCAGGAATTTTGCTTCTTTCTTTTTGAATTTCTTTTTCGAATCTTGTCGAGCCCTCCATGGCTCTCGGAATTTCAGACTTTCTTTTCGGGATTTGTGCTTTAATAAAGTTCTTTTTGCATTTTTGCGTTAGGAATTTAGAAATTTAGGAATTCAGAATTTCTT